AAACAAGTAAAAAAATTTCTTTTCGAATTTGAAGGGGAAAATAGATGAGTTTTCTAGTATAAATGAGAGTTATTATCACACACCTTTTAAAGGTATTTTATTTTTATATTATTATTACATATTAACATAAAATAAAAATAATGCCTCAGAGCTATAGTCAGGGTGCAGAACCTCACTGTACTAAGTGCTGTACAACCAGAGCAAAAGCAAAATCCCTTCCAGAAAGCATTTGCAGTCTAGGTACCACATTTGGAGCTCTGAAATATATTTTAGTTAAGCAATGCTCACCTCCTCGCTAAGTCTTATTAATAAGTAATTAAGGTTTAAATCAGAAGTCTGGCGTGGCACCAGACCAGATGATCCAGGATCAAAACGTCCCAGCTCACTGCAGGGCGTAGGGGAGCTGGGAGCTCAATGCAGTGGGGAGCCAGTGTGTGGCTCAGCTGGGCTGCCAAACGGAGCCAGGAAGCCTGGAGTGTGTGTGTGAGCGGGGACAAGACAAGGGTTGGGGCCAGCAGCATGGAGGCCAGAAATGACTTCCTTTGGTCCAGCAAAATCCCTCATCTGGGACTGGTCAGGTCTGGAGAGTGCCAGACCAGAGAGGTCCAACCTGTATCTTGATAAGAACATGGTACTGAAAATATAATAATATAAGCACAAATGAATATTGATGGTACACTAGGCAGACTGTGCCCCCTGCTTGCTACACTTGCCAACCATCTTCTCTCTTGGGTAGGTTTCTAGGAAGGGGGAGAGTACAGGGCAGGATGTCTGGCCAGGAGAGGGGAGGAGGAGCAGGCTGGGGGTAGTTGTCTGGCCAAGGGATAGGGTGCAGGAGCAGGCTGGGGGTGCTGTGTCTTGGTAGGGCAGAGAGCGAGCAGGCTGGGGTATGGGGTCTTGGCAGGTTGATGAGTGAGCAGGCTAGGGGTGCAGGGTCTCAGCAGGACAGTGGGCTGGAGGTGCGGGGTCTTGGCTTGGAAGTGAGTGGGGGAATGGGGGTGCAGGGTCTTGGTGGAAGGGGCTCAGGGCGTGGGGTCTTGGCAGGGTGGTGAGTGAGCGGACTGGGAGTTTTTGCAGGGCAGAGAGTGGGCTGGGGGTAGGGTCTCAGCTTGGGTGGGCATGAGTGGGAAGCTGAGTGTGCAGTCTCAGTGGAGGGGGTGAGTCAGGGGCTAGGGCTGCGGGATCTCAGTAGGGTGGTGTGTGGGGCAGGGCAGGGTCTCACCATGGCAGTGAGTGAGTGGGCTGCAGGGTCTTGGCTTGGGAGGGGATAAGTGTGGTAATGGGGGGGCAGGCTCTCGGTGGAGGGGGCTGGGGATGCGGGGTCTCGGCAGAGGGAGGTGAGTGTGGTGGCTGGAGACTGGGTCTTGGCAGAGCAGTGAGTGAGCAGGCTGGGAGTGTGGGGTCTAGGCTTGTGGGGTTTGAGTGAAGGGGTAGAGATGCAGGGTCTTGCTGGAGGGAGTGAGCAAGGGGGCTTGGGTTCTTGGCAGCACAGAGAGTAAGGAGGCTGGGGTCGCACGGTCTCACCAGGTGGAGAGCGAGGCTGCTGGAGGTGCAGGATCTCGGCATGGTGGTGAGTGAGCAGGCTGGGGGGTTTGGAGTCTCAACTTGGGGGGCATGATGGGGTGGGGGTACAGGGTCTTGTTGGAAGCAGTGAGGGAGCTGGAGATGTGGGGTCTCGGTAGGGTGGTGAGTGAGGGGGCTGGCGTTTCTAGAGATAGCTCCAGCCCTTCCCCTCCCTCTTCCTCCGTCCCCAGCTGCCACCACCTACGCCGCCTCCCCTGTGGCTGACCTGGGTCAGTGCCCAAGTAGAGGAGTGGCCGCTGTGGAATGTACTCCGATACTCCTGTGCTTCCACACACTTGCCCTGCTAGGCCCAGCCTGCAGCGCCGATGGGCAATCATGCCAAGCAGGGACCCTCTCACCTGTGTGCGGCTGCAGTTCCCCCAGGGAACACAGGGAAGCTAGGGGGTCTGGCTTGGATGGCAGAGAGGACCCAGCCCCAGAAGTAGCAGTTCCTCCCTGCTGGCGCGCCCCCAGGTTGTAAAGCAGGAGCCAGAGCTGGAGCAGCCCATGTCCAGAAGAGACGATGCTGAGGCTGGCCACAGCAAGTGACGGAGGATGGAGGTGGGCGGTGGAATGTGGATGTAGATGACTTGATGATGTTATTCTGTCATCCGACAGGAAGTTATTTCTAATGTATAGATTAAGTAAGGGCAGCTTTTTAAAAAAAATGCAACTACACATGCATTATTTTTACAATATATATATGTAAAGAAAGAAAAGCATTTGTATCATATATTCTTTAAAACTTTGCAAATTCATCAAGAAAATATTGATTAGTTTCCCATATTGTTGAATAATTCAGTTATGCTGGTAAGAACTCTTTGATTCGTATCAGGAGGTCCACCTGGTGGAAATGACAAGTAACTGCATAAATTTACTAGTTGTGACTTAGAATTGCTGTATCCAATGGAGATATCAATCAGAATTTGTTAAGCTACAATGACAATTGTTAACTAAGTTTCAAAATCAGTCAGGTAACCTAGAAAGAATTTATAAAAAAAAAATTGGCTTCTGCATTTTCTTCTTTTTTAGAAGAAGAGCTACTGAAAGTGTAACATCACAAGAGCTAAGTGAACACTGAGTACAGTAATTACTTGTTTAACACGTGCCCGCTTAACACGTTTTCACAATAGCACCATTTTTTTTTAGGGAACATTTTTCAAATAACACGACTGACCCTGAAATAACATGAAAATAACTAAGTAATGGACTATTTTGTGCGGCAGTATAAGTTGGTGAAAACAGTGGTAATACGCATGAGTAGATGAATTCACATAGGCACAGTGCTCCTTCGCTCACTCATGTGTTTACTGTATCTAAAATGAAAAGGATTTTTGATTGGACTGTTTAAAGCATTTTCGTATTAGTTCCTAATTAACTTTAATATCTAACTAATATTTTGGAAAAAATCATCTTTTGAGAAATACCTCATAAGCTCAGTCCTTGACTTAATTCTTTATTTCAAACTAGACTTCCCATTCCCTGAGACATACAAGAATTCCTCCAGCTAAAAGGGAGGCACGTACTTGACATTCCTGATATACTTGTCAAAATACAAACACCTTTCCTCAACTTTTTGGGCTTTTTTATATGCATTTTATAGATTTACCCAGCGTTACTTGGGTCCTTAACTAAGTTAAGGTTTAAAAGGAAAGTGCACATGCTTTATTTAAATTATTGCATTTTTCAATAATACAGTGTTATTTTTATGAAGTAAACTTTTTTTCTAAAATTGAAATTCCTTCAAGTGTATTTTTTCTTTATCCCTAAAAATTCTTATAATTCACTATGCTCTAATAAAAAAGGGCTATAGTTAATTTGGTTTCCCATAACATTTTCTTCTAGTTCTCAAACTTTAAGCATTGATTTACCCATGCCAAAACAGAGCACTACTCCAATTTTTTCCATTTTGTCACTTTTCTATAAAGGTGTAATGAAAATAAATCATATTCCAGGTTTATAATATTTTTCTGGCACATCTTGGTTCAGTCTCTTTCAACATTCACTCAGTTATGTCTAGTTTGAGGACTTTACATGATTTGGTGATTGTCTGTTTTCTGTTTGGTTTTATAAGAAGCAATCCCATTCTAAGCACATTCTTTTCCCTGGCACAACCAAATCCTTATGTTGCTTTAAATTATGATAAGAGGAAGCTGTATACCAAATTTGTTGGTCCTAGCTCCAAAGCTACGTCTAGATTGCATCCCTTTTTCGTAAAAGGGATGCAAATTAGACATATCGCAATTGCTAATGAAGCGGGGATTTAAATCTCCCCCGCTTCATTAGCATAAAAATGGCTGCCGCTTTTTTTCGGCTCGGAGCTTTGCCAGAAAAAAGTGCCAGTCTAGACGCGGATCTTTCGGAAAATAAAGCCTTTTCCGAAAGATTCCTTATCCCTCTTAAAATAAGGGATCTTTTGGAAAAGGCTTTATTTTCCCAAAGATCCGCTTCTAGACTGGCGCTTTTTTCCGGCAAAGCTCCGAGCCGAAAAAAAGCGGCAGC